AGCAGTGCAAGTTCAAGTAGTTCAAGGTCCCAGCTTCCAACCTTGGCCTGGCCAAGCCTGGTTGGTGTGAATATCTGAAGGAGTAAACCGACAGATAAAAGATCTCTCTCTCCTTTCTTCTCTCTCTCTACCTTTTTGCCTCTCAAATAAATATAATTACTTTTTTTACACCTGCAAAGGTTAGTTGATGGACATTTTGTGGGCCAGAGCTTTTGTCATTTTTGTTTTTCTTGAGAAGATGAACTTATTTTGAAAGTTGGAGTTGCACATAGAGAGGGAGAGACAGAAGAGCAGAAATCTTACATCTGTGAGGTCATTCCCCAGATGGCGACAACAGCCAACACGGGGCCAGGCTTAGGCCAGGAGCCAGGAGTGTCGTCTGGATCTCTCAAGGGCCGAAGGGGCCCAAACACTTGGGCTGTCTTCTGCTGCTTCCGAGGTGCACTAGCCGTAAGGGAGCCTGTGGATATGACTATTTTTCAGCAGACTGCTAAGCACCATATACGTCCAGTTGTATTCCCCCAAATACAAACATAGCAAGTGGACTTAACTCAGCAGGCCTACAAGGCAGCTGTTTTTATAGAATAGCTTTTACATAGGTCACAGGTGGATTCTCCTTATGTTTCTAGAAGAAAAGTGACTGACAGTAGTAGTTATCTATGTAGAAGGGTGGCCGGGAGAAGAGACGCTTTACTCCAAACAGGCTGTGTGCCTTGTGAATTTTATATCACCTGATGATAGAAATAAAAATTCAAAAAGTTGTTCTGGTTTATTTGCTTCTTGAAGATGACTGTGGTTCAAAAGCATTAACTGTTTCAGAGGGCAACGAGGCCATCCTGTAGACGGGCTGGAAAAGTTATCTAGAGAGAGCTTAGGCTTGTACATTTCTGCCCAGTTGTGGGGGCGTGCCATTGCTACCACTAGGGAAGAGGAGGCAATGCAGGTGTTGGGGTAATTACCCGAACAGCAGCAGCCTTGTGCCCAAGTCCCCCCACTTCCTTGGGGATTATTTCAGTAACATTTAAACAGGAACTTTTATTTTTTAAAGATTTATTTATTTTTATTGCAAAGTCAGATATATAGAGAGAGAGAGAGAGGAGGAGAGACAGAAATATCTTCCGTCCGATGATTCACTCCCCAAGTGAGCACAACGGCCAGTGCTGTGCCGATCCAAACTCAGGAGCCAGGAGCTCTTCTGGGTCTACCACACAGGTGCAGGGTCCCAAGGCTTTGGGCCATTAAACAAGAACTTTTTAAAAATCAGATTACTACTTTACTAGAGTTACCAACAATAACAGCTACCACCTTGCATAGAGGGGGAGCTTGGTCTTTGAGGATGCAGTTAGGCCCCAGTTCTGGGTAGGTGGAAGGGAAGGACCAAGGACCAGACAAAGCAGGGCAGGCCCTGGTGGACGGGACAGCCAGTGGTAAGATGATGGGCATCAGAATCAGGAACTTTTAGGCAAATGGACAGGTCACACTAGAATGGGCAGGGGCACATGCATTCATTCACGTGAAGACATGATGCCCACATGTGTCTGGTAGACTGTCAGATGGGGGACATCCAGGGTAAGCTAATGGAGAACTAAACCCAAGCAGATGAAGCTCAGGGTAGAATTGGGGAGTCAGGCAGAAGCAGGGAACCTGTCAGGCCGATAGCATTGAGGAGCAGGTGTGTAAGTCCCAGGGACCCAGTGAAGCAAGGTGAATTTGCTGGTCATGACAGGTTTCCCAGGAGTTACCAATGTGAAGGCTACCAGGCAAACAGAAAGCCTGGAGGCTTCTTGCTGGCTGGGACATGGCATGAGAAACAGATGGCACAAGGCAGGCTGTACAGTGCTGGCCAGGATTGAGGCGGGAGGGCCACAATGCCCTCACTACTAATCGGGATTCATGCCAGGCCTGGGATCCTGCAAATGGAAGGAAAGCGTCGGAAGCAGAGAGCTCAGAAGGGACCAAAAAGGAACACTTGGCCTGCTCCCAGGAGAGCTAGCACCCTTCATTAATCACGCTGAAACCACGTCTCATTAAACACTCGTGTGTAGGAGAGTTGCCTTCTAAGCTGTGTGCAGTGTGGGTGAGCATCTCTGATCCAGAAATCTGAGAACAGAAGGGCTCCAAAATCCAGCCCATTCATTCTCGTGGTCAATGTGGAACTGAAGTTTCAGACTCTGGAGCGTTTCAGAGCTGTGATTTTCCCATTTGGAATGCTCATCAGATGGAGTCCATGGTCACATTCCAAAATGGGATGCTCCAAGATCCAAAACACTTGTGCTGCCAATCTCCCCGAGTAAAGGGTACTCAACTTGCATGGCCACTTTGAAGACATAAAGGGGTGTTTTCCATTACATCATGCACCTGAGAACAACTTCAATTGCTGCTTACATTGTGCCTAAAGTTGGGTCAAATGCTTAATTTTCTGCCTCTCCATGGCAGATTGTCTCAAGAGCGTCATTGGTGCTGCTCCTTAGGAGTTCTGTGAAGTAGACGCATCAGTCAGAGGGCAATGACAATGTCCTGGCATAAGATACCAATGGTGACTGTGGAACTGTGATAAAGGCCCCTGAAGGCTATGCTTTCCAAGGCTTAATTTTATGGCATATGGCTGTAATCTCATTTTTTTTTTTTAAACAAGGCATGTCTACATGATAATTTGTAAGAAGGAAGCAGCTTAGGAGGGAGAGGTGATTTAAAGGAATCATGTAAAAATGTGCTTGAAAGTTAGGACTGGTGGTCATTTCTGGAAGTGGAAGTGTGATGCTCTGGGCAGCCGCAGGACAGGTGGCCTGAGCCACAGCCACACTGCTGGGCGTGCTATCCAGTCATCCTGATGCTCAGCAGCCTTGGGGCACAGACGGTGGCAACTGGTATGGCTTTGCAGCAATTGCTGCAGGGGACTAGCCCTTGCAGCAAATTCCCCTAAAAAGCACCTTTCTCTGTGGGTAGGGCAGAGTGTGTACACACCTTCTGGAGACTGGTGTAGCTTTCTTGGAGTTAGAAGCAATTGATAACCTTTGCCATCCGCCCTGAGATTCTTGGCATTGGCACCGCAGCTCCTTGGACTCGCAGGGATCCGGGGTCGGGCTGCCTGGGTTTAGCTGTCCTACCCTGCCTTGGCTCACCCACCTTCCGTGTGTGCACCTGCTGTGCCAGACACAGAAACACAGCATCAGCCTCGGGGGGAACCAGTTTCCTTTATATACAAAATGAAAGGGAAGCCAGAGTGAACTGTGCAGTGATTTCTTTCCTTTGTTTTTTAAGATTTAATTGAAAAGCAGAGTTAACAGAGAGAGAAAGAGACAGAGCTTCCATCTGCTGGCTTGTTACCCAAATGGTTTCAGCAAATCATGGCTGGACCAGGCCAAAGCCAGGAGCCTGGAACTCTAGCTGGGCCTCCCATGTGGGTGCAGCGGCCCAAACACCGGCCATCCTCTGATGGCATCCCAGGTGCATTAGCAGGGCAATGGATCAGAAGTAGAGCAGTCAGGACTCCGACCGGTGCCTAAATCAGATGCCACCATCACAGGCAGTGGCTTAAGCCTGTACATTGTCTGTAATGTCCCCTGGCCTCCCTATGGCATCAGCATCAGTACAGCAATCGGTGTCGCTGGGAACGATGGCAAGGCCCAGGTGTTAAGGTCAAGTGCAGTGCTGCTGGCACGTGTTGCTCCAGCCACATACAGGCTTCCCTGAGAACACCTGCCTTTGCACCTGTTCAGGCCATCAGCCCCTAAACCTGAGTGAGAGAGGCCCATGTGACTCCCACCCTCCACTCTGCTGGCTTTGGGTTTGCTGGGTCTGTGATTTCTTTATAAGACTTCCTTCTGTGACCGAGGTCATTTTGAGGCTGTGTTGGTCTTTGGACTGTGTTATTTCCAGACCCTAAGGCCTCTCCTACGCAGAGGAAGAAGCCCTCCTTGACCTTGACTATGCTATACTTGCCTATATTCTCATCCCCCAACCTCTCCTTGGCTGACAGGGTGCTCCAAATATACCACTGGTTTCTTACCGCCAGCCTCACCGCCTCTGGGTGAATGAGTCTTCCCAACCCCTTCCCTACCTGCTCCTGCCACTTCCTGTTTCCTCTGGTGGCATGGCGGATCCCTGGGGCCCGAGCTCCCAGAGGAAGCTGCCCAGGGCTGCCTCCTGCCTGGCTGGCGCATCTGCCTGGGCCGCAGCACCACCCGCTGGAGGTTTGTCAGCTGGCACTCACGGGCTTGTGGGAGACCTGGCGTGCGGTTCAGCCAAACCCAGCCTGTTCCCTTCCTCACCCAAGTGTTTGTTGTTGTTTTTCTCACACTGAGAAAGCGCAGAAGGAAAAGAACTTTCCTGCCACAAGCTGATAAGAATCTCCAGTGCCTCTAAGAGACCTGCTGTTTTGTTTGCCTTGGCCTGGTACATTCGGGGATCAGTCTTTGTATTAGAATCCAGACGGCTGTTTTAAACCAGAAAAGAAACAGAAGCACAAAAACCCCTGAGTGACTTACCCGGAGTCCTTGGGATGGCAGGCTGGCACTGCCCCACCTTGCTGTCCCCATTCTGATGAATTTTCTGTACATGTTTGACATTTGAAATGGTAAGCGTTTCGAATGCAGAGAGAGCATGGATGACCAAACTGGACATCCTGTGGTATGGTCCTGATGGGGCCTCGCTGGTCTCTGAGTCAACGCCGAGTCTGGAGAAGGGAGATTACTTCTGTATGTGGCTTGTGTCGGGTATTTTTCAATTTTATGGGGACAGTTTGGAAATGGCCTTTAATCCATCCTATAAGCAGGAACATGCTAACCACTCTTAAATGACTTGGTTTTATACATCCATAGGAGGAGAATGGGTTAAACTAGGCAAGTGACATTTTTGGAGGTAATGTCCCAAACCACGGTGTCAGGATGGCTTAAAGCATTTTTAGATGATTTGTGGAAATGTGACTTGGCAATTCCCTTTGTGTTGTCTTCATAAAAGAACCTGTGGGTAAACCTGCCTGATGTCAGTCCCTTTTCCAGGTGAGCCTCCAGGTGACCGCTCCGTGTGCCAGCGAGAGGCATTACGAGCATCTTGGGCTGTGCTGCCACAAATGTGAACCAGGTACTTCCTGAACTGAGCCCCCAGCAGGTGTGCTTCCAGACTGGGCCGGGTTTGCACTGTGGAGCTCCCCACTCCCACCAGATGCAGAGGTGACGGCGTGGACTTGATGTGGGTGGCGGATGCTCACGCCAGCCACTTGGAATATGAGGATCTCTCCTCAACAGCTGAAATCAGTTCAAAGCCAGAACCCCATTCCGTTCTAGGCCCCCCGTGGGTGCTGCAGCACGGATTTTCCAAAACACTGTTCCCTGAGAAGGTTTTTAAGAGCATATTTTAGCACCTTTATGCTTCAGATTCTCCAAATGTGAGGTACAGCTCTTACTTATAATTGTTTTCACAGGAGTTCTATTTGGGGATAGCTACTTTGGAATTGGTTCTGATAAAAAAAAAATCGCCTGAACCCAATTATAGCTCCTGTAGCTACTTGCTGAAGGCAGAGGGAGGAACTGGCTACCTGCTTCTCAACACTGCAGAACCTGGCCTGGCAGCCCCGGCGGGGTCCCCAGCCCACCAAGTCCCCCGACGCTTATTGTTCACTTGATGGAGGAAAGGAGAGGTCACCTTATGAGAGCTCTCTGAAAGGTCCATGGAAATTACATATTAGGGAAAAATTGCATGGATTTAAAAAAAAAAAAAACATAGTTCCCAGATACATTTCTTTTACAGTCCCATTTTCCATGAACTGCTTGAAATGCCCTCAAATAATAAGGCCCTTTGGATATTTCAGCTCCAGATATTCTCGGGTGGGCAGGACCAAGGTCCAATGACTGACAGGTGTGTTTGTGAGAGAGGGAGAAGCACACCTTGACTCGTGGGTCAAACTGAGCCCACCTGAGCCCACAGTGTATGTGAGCCACAAGAGGTTGATTACCCAGTTGGAGAGCAGAGAGGAGTTTGAAGATGGGAAGCCCATGTTTGGGGGCTTCCTGGGATGGTGGTCGTGTCTATTTGTCCAAGACGTTGGTGACCTTGTTGAACTTGCGCTGTGTTTTGACGAGTGCGTGTCTGTCCCCCTTCCAATTTAAGGGAAGTACCTGTCTTCTAAATGCACTTCTACCTCCGGCAGCGTGTGCCTGCCCTGTGGTCCGGATGAGTACTTGGATACTTGGAACGAGGAAGATAAGTGCTTGCTGCACAAAGTCTGTGACTCTGGTGAGTTAGTCGTGCCTTGGGAGGCGCAATACTAAAAAAATTTGTCTCTGCTGCACTCACATCTTCCCTTGTAGGCACACATTTCTAGAAGTGGCCAGTGCTGTTTCTTATGTCTAAGATCCCCGAAGCCTTGGGACAGCATGCTTCATTTAGAACTTCTGTGCTGGAAGGTGTGCACGTTGTAGTTTATTTCTGGAACCCCTCTGACGGGGTACACTGGCCTCACCTCTCTGTGTCGACACAGGCCTTAGACACAGGTCAGGCTCATTCACTGAACAATCAGCCTGATGAAGAAACTGAGTCTTGGGGAGGTGGAATGACTACTCCAAGGTTAGGAGGTGAGAAATAGGGCTCAACCTCGACCTTCTGCCACCCAAGCCTCTTCTTACTTTTTTTTTTTTTTTTTTTATCGCAAAGTCAGATACACAGAGAGGAGAGACAGAGAGGAAGATCTTCCGTCCGATGATTCATTCCCCAAGTGACCGCAACAGCCTGTGCTGTGCCGGTCTGAAGCCAGGAGCCAGGAATTTCTTCCAGGTCCCCCATACGTGTGGAGGGTCCAAAGGCTTTTGGCCTTCTTCGACTGCTGTGCCGGGCCACCAGCAGGGAGCTGGATGGGAAGTGAGGCTACTGGAACTAGAACCTGCGCTCACATGGGATCTTGGCACATGCAAGGCTAGGGCTTTGGCTGCTATGGCACTGCGCTGGGACCCGCAAGCCTCTTTTCTAAACTCTGTACTTCCATGTCCTTGTCAAACCGCCATCCTCCTCCATTTTTGGTTTCTGCCTTGAATGCATTTTTTCATTGTTGCTGATTGAATCAATCCATTAGAGAGAGAGTGTCTCATCTGCCATATGCTTCCCAGATGCCCTCAGCGGCCACACCTGAGTGCTGGGATCTCTATCCAGCTCTCCCATGGGTGTCAGGGACCCAAGCACTTGAACCAAGGACTTGGCTTTGCAGGTTCTACATGAGTAGAAGCTGCAGACCAGGGGTAGAGCCAGGAATTGAACCTGGGGACTGTGCTGGGGGATGCAGGCTTCTCAACCAAGGTCGGGACTGCTCAGCTAGGTGCCAGACCCCCGAAAGGACCTCCCTTCCTTCCAGGCTTACCTGCCGTCCTCCAGTGGACTGCGGCCAACCATTTCTCCAAGGATTCCTGATCGCTTTTTAGTGAACATTTTATTTGCCAGTCTCCGCGTGAATGCTAGGAGGAGGCTCGTGACTACAGAACTAATCCTTGTTTATAGATTTTCTGTTCCACTGGACAGAAACAAAAACTAAATATTTGAACAAAAAAAACCCCACATTTTCTGAAGTGTTTGAGGTGGCAGGTTTCAGCAGGAGAATGTAACGTGGAAAGTCTGCTCAGCAGAGGCATCTGACCAGGACTTTTTTATTTCCCACTGCTTAGTAATGGCCTTGACTCATTGCTGTCTCTTGGAAATAAAAGTTCACTCTGTCTACTGCCAAAATTCGTTAAAGCCAAAATCCTGCTGCAGTAAGATTTTTTTAAAGATTTATTTTATTTTTACTCGAAAGTCAGATATACAGAGAAGATCTTTCATCCATTGATTCATTCCCCGAGCGGCCACAACAGCTGGTGCTGTACCGATCCAAAGCCAGGAGCCAGGAGCCTCTTCTGAGTCTCCCATATGGGTACAGGGTCTTAAGGCTTTGGGCCATGCTTGACTGCTTTCCCAGGCCACAAGCAGGGAGCTAGACAGGAAACGGGGTTACTGGGATTAGAGCCGGTGCCCATATGGGATGCCGGTGCATGCAAGGTGAGGACTTTAGCCCCTAAGCCACTGCCACCGGTCCTGCAGTGAGATATTTTTAAATATGCATAAGTCTGTGGTCACCTGGTTGGTTCCATTCTGCTGCATTTGAGTAGGGTACTGGGAGAACTTGATGTCCATCCGGGTCTGTCCCATGCATTGTGTACTATTTTGGGCCTCAAAAAGCAGACACAGAAGGGAGTTTGCCTTTCCAGGAATCATCCTGCTGTGTTCTAGGAAAAAAATGGAAATTGGCCATAACCCCTGCTTCAGAGAATGAAAAAGGGAAGAGACTTCTGGTTCGTTTGTTTTACTCCTTGAAGCTCCCCCACATATTGTGGAATATAAAGATGCAAGGCCCAGTTGGCCAATCCAGATGAGATGGCATGCGGGGGTACCGGGCTCAGTCACATACAGTGAATCAATCAAACCAGGTGGGCTCACAGTTGAAGCTGTAAAGTCACCACAAATGCTGAATTAGCACATCCTGAACCACTGCCCTGAGGGAGAAGAGAGTCAGCTTCCCACGGGTCTGGTCAGCAAGTAGCACGTGACCTTGAGTGTTTGTGTTCAGAGTCGTCTGTTGGACTGTCATGGCACTCATGCCCTGATGGAGCTTACCCACCATGGCTACAAGGTGTGTCACAGCCTTGTCACCCTAAGAACGCTGGATGATCCTGCAGCACAAGGCTTGGTGGCTGTTTAAAATAGCAAGGCCGGGCCCGGCGCGGTGGCGCAAGTGGTTAAGGTCCTCACCTAGCACGCCCGCTGGGATCCCATATGGGCGCCGGTTCTAATCCCGGCAGCCCCGCTTCCCTTCCAGCTCCCTGCCTGTGGCCTGGGAAAGCAGTCGAGGCCGGCCCAAAGCTTTGGGACCCTGCACCCGCGTGGGAGACCCGGAAGAGGCTCCTGGCTTCGGATCGGCATAGTATCGGCCCGTTGCGCTCACTTGGGGAGTGAATCATCGGACGGAAGATCTTCCTCTCTGTCTCTCCTCTCTGTATATCCGCCTTTCCAATGAAAAAATAATAAAAATAAATCTTTAAAAAAAAAAATAGCAAGGCCACCAAGAATAAGCAACGACATTGAGAAAACCCTGACACTGGGTTTACAGAGTTCAGCAGCATGAACAGAAAGCAAGAAAAAAACAACCCTGGCTGTTGGTGTGACTTCCCCTGGGGCCCTAAGTGCAGAATGAGTCAAAAAGATACATGGTTCTGTGCAGACCCACAGATGACTGCCAAAGGGTTGGGAATATTGAGGGCTCCACGAACATTTTAGGAAGTGAATTGACAGATGGAAGCTGTAGATGGTGAGTGTGTGTGTGTGTGTGTGTGTGTGTGTGTGTGTGTGTGGTTTGCAAGAGATGTACTCACGTATACCTGTATTTTAAAGAAATTAGAAGGGGCCAGGGTAAGAAGGCAGACACTGTTGCGTGTTGTGAAGAGAGAGCTAAACCTGTCCTAAGTGCTGGGGGGAGAGATTGGTTCCCAAGCTCAGCCAGCTGGCCTCTGCCCTTGCTGTACCGCCAGCCCATTCAACCGGCAGTGACCCCAGTTTTCACCCTGGGAACCCAAGGTGAGTCCCCACTCTCCTGAAATCCTGTCTTGAGGTCAGTCTAACATTCGTGTTAATAGTATTTATGACAATTTAGCAAAAAAATAAGACACTGCAGTTTAACCATTTTGCATTCACTGGACTATTTATTCAATGATCACGAATTCCCCCGTGCTTAATCTTCCTAATCACGTGGAGGTTTTTAAAAAAGCTCACGAAACCAAATTGCTGCAGAGAAACCCATGGGATGTTCTTGCGCCCGCACAGGAAGCAGGAGGAGGAACTTGAGAGTTCCTCAAACCAAGCGTGATTCACTGCAGAAGCCCGCCTGTCCGCTGTCTGGGTCCTGTTTGGGGGTGGCCGTGGGACCGGCGCTCTCCAGGGCTGGGCTGGGCTGCCTCCTTGCACTCGCCAGCTGCCAACCTGTCTTTTGTTCCCCGCAGGGAAGGCCCTGGTGGCCGTGGACCCTGGTAACCGCACGGCCCCTCGAAGCTGCGCCTGCACAGCCGGCTACCACTGGAGCCAGGACTGCGAGTGCTGCCGCCGCAACACCGAGTGCGCCCCGGGCTTCGGCGCCCAGCAACCCTGTACGGTTGGATGCGCTCTGTGCGCCCCCTTGGAGCCGCGTGGTTAGCTCAGGGCAAGGCAGGCACCTGACACGCCCCCTTGACTTCCCAGGAGATGCAAGTGCAGGCTTGACCCAGCAGAGGACTCAGACACTCTTGTCATATCTCTGTGGCCCTCTGACGCTCCCTTGCCCAGCTTGGGGAGCCCTGGTGGGTGCCAGCTTCACAGCTGGGGCATACCGGGTATTAAAGCAATGAGGATCATTTTGGAGAAACCACTCATACCCACATGTTTCAGTTGGTCCCTTCAAAGTCTTTCTTACAGATCTCAAGAGCGTGCTCTGTTTCCCTTCTCTGCCTTCCTCTTCTTCCCATCCTCTCTCCCTTCCCTCCCCTTCCTTTCTCCCTCCCTTCTTTCCCCCTTTCTTTTTACCTGACTGTCCTCCATCTTGCCCCCTTCCCCTGCCTAAACAATAAAATAAATAGTTAAAAACAAAATCTCAGGAGCTACTAAGGACTTGGTTACTGTGGATTTATTATTGCAGTAACGTATGCAAAAACTCACCATCATCCATTCAAATGCTCTAATCCTGCTTACCTGACACAAATATTTCATAGTTCCTTACTTTGTGTTGATTTGCATTCATTTCACCTCCAGCACAGATTAAATTATCCTAATTTAAATTTTTTATATCTTTTTAAAAATATTTATCCATTTATTTGAAAGGCACGGTGGCAGAGAGAGGAGAAACAAAGAGATTTTATCAGCTGAGCGGCCACAGCAGGAACCCAGGATTCAGGGCTGTCTACCTGAGCCATCTGCTGCTGCTTTTCTGGCACGTGGCTCGCAGGGGCCCACACACTGGGGCCACCTTTCCCAGGCCCTTTGGACGTGGGACCGTCGAGTGTCATGGAGGCCAACTTGGCTGGTGGCAGCAGCTTAACTCACTCCACCATAATGCCGTCCCTCATATATTCTTATTTGGAGAGCTTCTGCTAATTGCCTTTTCTTTTTCCTTTATATCAAAAATGTACATCTATTTGAAATTTTAAGCTTTAGAAATTCCCTGTGATCCAGGGTTCTCAGGGTTAAAAATATTTCTTCTGGGCTGAGTTGTGACTGCATTTATTATTACAGAATTGGTCAAAAATGAGTCTTATATTTTGCTATATTATGATTGTAAAAATAAAAGCATTTGATTTTCATAATGAATGGGAGACTTTTCATATATATATATACATATGTATATATATATTTGCTTTTTAAATTTAAAAACTTGTTTTTTCCAATTCATATTTTCATTACTGAATATTACATACTGGTAAATTATAACAGGATTCAGGGCCCGGCACAGTGGGCTAGTGGCTGAGGTCCTCACCTTGAACGTGCTGGGATCCCATGTGGGTGCTGGTTCTAGTTCCGGCAGCCCTGCTTCCCATCCAGCTCCCTGCTTGTGGTCTGGGAAAGCGGCCAAGGACAGACCAAAGCCTTGGGACCCTGCACCCATGTGGGGAGACCTGGAGGAGGCTTCTGGCTCCTGGCTTCAGATAGGCGCAGCTCCAGCCGTTGCAGTTGCTTGGGGAGTGAATCATCTTCCTCTCTGTTCCTCCTCCTCTCTGCATGTCTGACTTTGCAATAAAAATAAATAAATCTTTTATATATATGCATATACATAAAACAGGATTCAACTTAATTATAATCACATTTTTTTGTTATATAGATAGGTGGTGAGAAATTTGTTCACATAAATAATGAAATGGTTAAGGAAAATTTTCTGTTACAGGAGCACTCAATTATTTTAGCTCATCTGAGTTTTTTGCCCAAGGTTATACAGTGATTTTTTTTAATGATTCAATTGCATCCTTCAATTTTGTGAAAAGTGAAAAAAAAACACAGAAGTCTTCTTTTGATTGGCAGAGGTGTTCCTCAGAGTCGTTTTGCTTTCCTGACTTGTGGAAAGTTCAACAAAGTGATTTCTTAAGGCCTAGCAAGTGATGGTGTGTGTTCGTCTGTCTTAACCTGCTACTGGAACAGGGTGGGGAATTGATTTCTATTCATATCGAGGAAAGAATCTAGCACAAAGCCTACCCAACACAGTGCACGGACTGAGCACACACACTCTGTCTTGGATGAAGAGTGACATGACTTTCTAGTCGTTGGAGCAAGTCTCCCTGTCCCACCCACTGCCTACGGACTGCGGATTCAGGAGAGACAAAGCCCAGTGCCCTTGTGCAGGTCTGTGTCTCGGAGCTGCCTGCAGGACTCCTGCTGGGCGTCCCCTCCGCCTTGTCCCTCCCAGAAGGAAGCGTCTCTCACCAAGAGGGGGTGGGGTGGATGAAAGCCACTCTCACTCCTGTGCCCCGTTGCAACGTGTTTAAATTCAGAACAATTCAACCCAGTCCCAAGCAGTGCGTTCTTCTTGCCCCACATTTACTTTCAGTAGAGAGGTAGGGGCTGCCCCAGCGTGCAGAGCAGGAGCTTTGGGGTAGGTAGGGAGTGACACAGTTTTTTAAAGTAGGAAACATGCTTGTCAGAGTGAGGGGGCATAGAGGAGAAGAGTGCAGGATGCTTCTGGCAGGTCCATGGTTGGAGGGGTCGTACCATGAGTCAGGTGTATGGATAATTGAGTGTACAGAAAGCCTGCATAGGCCTGCCAGCCCCTTGGCAAGGCTCCTGTGTTTCACACAATCTACTAGACTGTATCTGCCTTTTTTTTAAGATTGATTTTATTTTTATTGGAAAGTCAGATAGACAAAGAGGAAGATATTGCATCCGCTGATTCACTCCCCAAGTGGTTGTTGCTGCGCTGATCTGAAACCAGGAGCCAGAAGCCTCCTCCGGGTCTCCCAAGGCTTTGGGCTGTCCTCACTGCTTTGTAAGGCCACAAACAGGGAGTTGGTTGGAAAGTGAGGCCGCGGGGATTAGATCCCATATGGGATCCCAGTGCATGGAAAGCGAGGACTCTAGCTGCTAGGCTACCTTGCCTGGCCCTATGTAACTTATTAGATATTGTCTGGATTATGGTTTAGTTTTAAGGTGAAATCAGATGGTTAGAGAAGCCTGGCTGTAAAAGTTGGCAATACACTTCCCACCTGACTTTGGGAGAGAAAATCAAATTCCTTATTTCAGTTCTTGGTATAGGAAAATAAGCCACGGGAGGGTTACTATTTTCCAGGATTATCTGTGGTGTGGATGTCAGCTAGTGGCCTGGCCCTCGGTGGCACCACACAGTGGCCGGTGCTCTTCACTGCGGCTACAAATTGTTGCCAGCTGCTGGTTGAAGTAGGGATGAGGGCGTAGCATGAGCTGTCTCCTGCTTGGATCACTTAGTACCCGAGGCTGATGAGGTTACACGGACTCACTCCCCTTGGCAGCACCGTGAATTCGGCAAGCAGCAGATCCATCCTATTGTGTTTACTTTATAAATGAAGCTCTATCGGGACATGGTCCAATTTTTTTTTTTAACGTACCGTTTGTGATTGCTTTCATGCTATAATTGCAGCTTGAACTGTTAAACTTCACAAACACCAAGCAGTACACCGTATGGCCCTTTTCAAGGGGTGAAAGAAAAAACAAATTTAAGATTTATTTAATCGAAAGGCACAGCGATAGAGGGGGAGAGACAGGATGCAAGTTTCCCCTCTGAGCATCCATGCAGCTGCCTCTCCCAGGAGATCAAAGTTGCCATAAATGGGGAAGACAGGCAGGAGTCGGTTTTGAACATGGTAGAAAACTGAGTAATACTGACTGCCTTCTCAGAACCTATGTGTCCACCTCAGACAGTGGCTACGGACAGCAGAGGGCCAGCTTGGGCTGGCTACCAGCATAGGTGGGGAGACTGGGCAAGCGGCCTTTCTGAACTGTGTAACTGGTGTTAAGGGCTGAAGCAAACAGATGCAGGCAGTGCGGGCAGGGACGCGGAGGCAGCAGGCTGGTCTCCGGCCCCTGGAGCGTCCCCCAGGCTGATCTCTAACTGTCCGTGTGTGTGTTGTGCCCTGTTTTTTATCCCTTTGTTTTTTTTGACAGTGCAGCTGAACAAGGACACGGTGTGCAAGCCTTGCCAGGCTGGCTACTTCTCTGACACCTTTTCCGCCACGGATGCGTGCAAGCCCTGGACCAAGTAAGTGACCCACCAGGGCCCTATTGGAGAGTTTGTGGATTTCCAACAGCTCAACCTCCACAACAAATGGGCTGTGTTTTCTGATGCTTCCTCTTCAAGTCGAGGGCCAAAGGGAAGAGTCCCTTGGCACAGCCAGGGCAATCCTACCAGTCAAAGCTACTTGGCAGCTTGAGGTGAACTGGGAACTCAGCATTCCTTTTTAGGTTCCATGGACTGACTTATCATCGCAGCTGGTTTTCTCCTGTTTCTAAGCTCATTTAGTTGGAAATGATTTATGATGTTTATTAGTGCATTCAGTCAGCACAAGCGCTTCGTCCACTGTCCTGTCTTTGCTGATTTATCCATCCAGAGTATGTGTGTGTGTCTGTGTGTACATTTAGAAGCTTCCTTCTTGCATGCATGCTTTGCACAATGGAAGTACATGGGTCTTTTTCTAGTTGTCTTTCTTGAATTTACTTCTGCTCATTTATCTGTCTTTGTGATGTCCTGCTCACTTGGGGGACGCCTCAAGGACATGGGTCTTTCAGTGCCAAGTTCCTCTTCTGAAGGAGCTAGCAGTCCAGTGAGATGGAATGTCCAATTGCTTTTTTTAAAACCGGAACTGTAACATGAATTGCTTTTCCCCCACAGTTGTACCATCCTTGGAAAGACGGAAGAACATCACGGGACGGAAAAATCAGATGTGGTTTGCAGTTCCTCTCTGCCTTCTAGAAAACCACCAAACGGTATGGCTGAAAAAGGCCGGCTGGTTGGTTGAGGGGTCCTGGGAAGACAGCTCGTGTGCCTCACTCTTGAACCCCAAGCTCCTTCTGGGACGCTCAACCCTCCCTTTTCCTCTCATCTCACCCATTAGCAGCTTTCCATTTCCTCCTTATGTGTGGCTTACTAGGTCATTTTCTGTACTGGGTCGATAATAACTAGTAATGTCTTAGTATCCCAAAGAGAAAATAGAGCTGCAAACATACTTTAAACATCTCTGACATGGCGGCACGGCAGAGGTCAGGCAGCTGGTCTGCCTGACCAGGCAGAGGTCTGCCAGCTCCAGACAGTACAAGATCATTCTTGGAGCACAAAGTCACAGAGTTAATAGGCTTTGATGTTGAAGTGGATGTTTAGGGCAACAGGGGGATAATCAAGCTGTCAGGTCAATGTGCCAACAGGGAGGCTTTGGTCACCAACCACACCCAGTGACCTGCTAGAATCTAGCTACCATTCTTGTGGAGCTTTTTGTAGGTAAAAGTAAGAAATTTTTCTGTTAAGAAAAATTATTTATTATTTTTATTGGAAAGACAGATATAAGGGAGAAGAAGATACAGAGAGAAAGATCTTCCATCCTCTACTTCACTCCCCAAGTGGCAATACTCAGAGCTGAGCTGATCTGAAGCTAGGAGTTTCTTCCAGGTCTCCCACTTGGGTACAGGGTCCTAAGGCTTTGGGCCATCCTCGACTGCTTTCCCAGGCCATAAGCAGGGAGCTGGATGAGAAGTGAAGCAGCCAGAATTAAAACCGGCACCCATGTGGAATTCCAGCGCATGCACGGCAATGACTTTAACCAACAGGCTACTGCGTAGGGCTCCAAAGTCTTAAGGACTGATAGAAAGAGGCCAGTTAACAGTCAAAGCCACCTGCTGCAGGTGAAGGGGTCAGTGTGGAGCCAGCTCCAGACAGTACAAGATCATTCTTGGAGCACAAAGTCACAGAGTTAATAGGCTTTGATGTTGAAGTGGATGTTTAGGGCAACAGGGGGATAATCAAGCTGTCTGGGCATGGGCAAGCACAGTCAAAGCACTTTTAAAATACTGCCCTGAATAACATAAGGCATAACTCGGTGGAGGGGGAGTTACTTTTGAAAGGCTCCTTTATTGGGTCTGGTGCAATGGCTCAGTGGCTAAATCCTCACCTTCCATGCTGGGATCCCATAGGGTGCCGGTTCATATCCCAGCTGCTCCACTTCCCTTCCAGCTTCCTTCCTCTGGCCTGAGAGAGCAATGGAGGATGGCCCAAAGCCTTGGGACCCTGCATCTGCAAGGGAGACCCAGAGGAAGCTCCTGGCTCCTGGCTTTGGATCAGCTCAGTTCCAGCTGTTGTGTCCACTTGGGGAGTGAACCAGCAGATGGAAGATGTTTCTCTCTGTTTCTCCTTCTCTGCAGATCTGCCTTTTCAATAAAAACAAATCTTTAAGAAAACTAAAAAGCTTATTTATTTGAAATGCAGAGCAACAAGGAAGGGAAGAAACAGAGCTAGAGAGTGATCTTTCATCTGCCTTCATTCCCTGAAGGCAGCATCTGCCAGGCCAGGGTCTCCCACAACGTGGCAGGGATTCAGACACCGGACCCACCCCCTACCCCCTCACAGGTGCGTTAGCAGGGAGCTGGATCAGAGGCAGGGCAGTCAGGACTTGAACTCCAGCTCAACCTGCTGCTCCACCACACCAGGACTGGAAGTTGTTGTTGTTGTTGTTATTAAAGATTTATTTACTTTTATTGCAAAGTCATATATAGAGAGAGGGACAGAGACAGAGAGAAGGATCTTCTGCCTGCTGATTCACTCCCCATGCAGCTGCAATGGCCAGAACTGCACCAATCTGAACCCAGGAGTCAGGAGCCTCCTCCGAGTCTCCCACGCGGGTGCAGGGTCCTAAGGCTTTGGGACGTCCTCAACTGCTTTCCCAGGCCACAAGCAGGGAGCTAGATGGGAAGTGGAGCTGCTGGGATTAGAACTGGCACCCATATGGGATCCTGGTGTGTGCAAGATGAGGACTTTAGCCGCTAGGCTACTGCGTAGGGCCCCTGAATTTTATTTTAAAAAGAAATATAAAGACAGGATAGGTGGGCATTCAGGCAGCCACATCAGGTAAGCCACATGTTTGTGATGGAAAGTTGTGACAGTGCTGTGACCAGGGACAGGTGAAGGAAATGGCGGGGTTCCCGTTGCACTGTGTCCAGAAGGGCAGAAAGACTTCACAGGGTGGCTGTGCTTCCGCTGTCACAGTCCCCGAACCCCAGGGCTGTGCTGGTGTTTGGGAAGAGATGTGCCAAGGGCTTCCTGTTACCCATGGGTCATCCACTGGAGATAATGAGATATGAAGCATGAGAGTGGATGGCGTGGAATGGAAGTAGAACTGTTCTACGTGAGGAGCTTGGCTATGTCCTGCACTGGCCTCCGTGGAGGGGAGCCCGGAGCAGAGCCGAGCCGGGTACAGCCTTCCGTCCTCCAAGGTGTGAGGGAAGGCAGCGATGGGGAGTCTGGCCACAGCCTCGATTCTGGGGGTTGGATTAAAGGTGTTTTGATTTGAAACATAGTAAAGTTAAATCATCTTGAATGCCACGTTTCTGCTCTTGTTCCAACACAGAACCCGAGATCTACCTGTCCACTTTGATTATTCTGCTTCTCTTCCTCTCGGTGGCAATAGTCGCTGCTGTCATCTTCGGTGTTTACTATAGAAAACAAGGAAAAGCACTGACAGGTACTGTGTCTGTTGTGAAGTATGCATCTGTGGTGGTTCAAGGGAAGGATGGAGCGTTGCCGGGCGAGCCGTTGCCGGAGCAGAGCTGTCCTTGATGATCTGCTTGCAGTGGTTGGGCTCACACTGAAGTCAAACAACCCTTTATCTCACATTCATTGTTCTCCAGCCAAAAAAAGGAATAAAAAAGCCAATGTTTCATATAAGCAAATAGGAATATTTGAAGAATCAGGAAATTAATAACTGAGAGCTGTATTTAGGTTAAAAAGGCTTTGCAGCTTGGTGTGTATACACCTCTACTTTACGCATACATATGTGCGTATAGAATACTTCCATTTTTAATAGACTCATCTAAAATAGAGTCAACACTGTTCAGGTACCAACAGAGGGAAGTTTTGATTGGAATGTTACCATGAAATAGGAACCTAAATGATGGAATACGAGGTTAACTTATATTCACAAAAATGTAGGTGCACAGAATGGCTAATCAAGTTTTATCTTGTGTTTTTTTTTAAGATTTATTTAATTTTATTGGAAAACCGGATATATAGAGAGAAAGATCTTCCATCTGCTGATTCACTCCCCAACCAGCCAGGAACCAGGAGCTTCCTGTGGGTCTCCCATGCAGGTGCAGGGTCCCAAGGCTTTGGGCCGTCCTTGACTGTTTTCCTAGGCCACAGGCAGGGAGCTGGATGGAAAGCAGAGCTGCCAGGATTAGAGCTGGTGGCCATATGGGATCCTGGTGTATGCACGGCAAGGACTTTAGCCACTAAGTGATTGCGCCAGGCCCAGTTTTTTTTTTAATTATTTTTTCCACAAAACATTGTTTGATTGTACTTTTAAATGCTATATGTCATGTTTGAACTTTATACTGCAAAGCTTACAAAGTAATTTTTTATGAAAGTGGTTGAAGCTTAATTAGATTTTTTGGATTTCTTCATCCTTTGGTGATCACGTCTTTCCTGTCTGGAGCCCCTGTTGTTTGGCAGTGCTTCCCCCTTTCAGGTGAACAGGTGCTCAGGGGCTGTTTACGTTGTCTGCTCTGCTTTGCCGGGATTTGGTCGTTTCTCCAACATCACACCCACAGACCTCCTAAAACTGGTCGCCTGCTGCTTTACTTATGTTGCGTTGCCTAAGATAACATCATGCATCCAGAAAACTGGAACGTTAGTGATTAAAGATGCCAGTGTTAAAAAAGACCAATGTCCGTACAGGGACCATGTTTTTAAAGATTTTACTTATCATTGAGTAATTTTTTTAAAGCATATTTTTTTAAGATTTATTTATTTTTATTGGAAAGTCAGATTTACAGTGAGAAGAAAGATCTTCCATCCACTGGTGCAGTCCCCAAGTGGTCACAATGGCTGGAGCTGAGCCGATTCAAAGCCAGGAGCCAGGAGCTTCCTCTGCGTCTCCCACGTGGGAGCGGAGTCCCAAGGGCTCGGGCCATGCTCGACTGCTTTCCCAGGCCACAAGCAGGGAACTGGAGGGAAGTGGAGCAGCTGGGATTAGAACCGGCGTCCATATGGGATTCCCAGAACATGCAAGGTGATGACTTTAGCCGCTAGGCCACCGTGCTGGGCCATGGGTAATTTTTCTTAAGATTTATTTGAAAGAGTAGCAGAGAGGAAATGGCGCAGACAGGAAGAGTGAGAGCTTTTTTCCCCCAACCACTGACTCAAATGGATATAATGACCAGGGTTGGGCCTGGGTGAAGTCAGGCACCAGGAACTCCATTCTGGCCTCCAGGTGAACAGGGTACGAGTGTTTGTGCCAGCCTCCACTGCTTTCCCCGGTACGTTAACAGGGAGCTAAACTGCAGGACAGGGTGGATGCAAATCGTGATACTGGATTGCAGATGAAAGCTTAACGCACTGAGCTGCAATGTCCAGTGGCCCCCATTGTTGAGTCTTTTAATTAATATTCACTTCCCTGACAATGTCATAGCTAGGGGTTTGGATGATGCATGTTGGGCCGTAAGGATTACACGACGGTGGAGTTGGTGGTGGTGATAACATACGTTGACATACATTGAGGATTTACTTTGTGCCAGCCTGGCCATGCGCATTTACATATGCTAAATAAATCGGCATGGCAGCCCAGCTTGAAAATTTTGTGATGAGGAGACTTCTGCTGAGAGAAGGTGAGTGCAGTGTGCAGGACCCTGTACTGGGACCTCTCGCATAAATGAGACTATGTGTTCAGACCGTAGTCCAGCACGACGTCCAGCTCGGCCATTTCACCTGGCATGATGCCTGGCACCGCTCAGTGCCAGCAGCTGTGCGGCACTGTTAGCCACTGTCAGGGACTCCGATGACCCTTCCACTGAACACTGACAGCTCCGCACTTCAGTCTTCAGGGTGAACACAGTGGTATGTGTTACTTAGAGCTAGGGGACAATTTCATCTTCACATAATATCAATTCATAGAATTTTTTTTTAAGTTCAGAGTTGACTTTTTAGATTTCATTATTTCCATTTGATGAAATTGAAGGGAGATGTACTACGCATGTGCTACAGAACACACAGTCTTCTGTGAGCAGCCATAGGGTCCAGGAAAGATCTGGGGCCTGCTGCAACCCAGCCAGGCACTGGACTCTGTAGCTTCCACTTGACGTTAACACGCATTTGCCTGCTTGTCTCTAAGGCACATCATCTCTGTCCTGCAGCTTAGTCCGTCCTGCTCGACTCCAGGACTCTAGCTCTGACAGCCCCACCTGGACTTGATGCTTTGCCCTACAGAGAACCGGAAGTTCTGTTTGTGACCGGAGCAAGGCACCTTCCTAGTCTTGAAAGCAAGTGGCTTCCTTTTGACAACTTCCCCCACTACAATCCCTCACTTAACTACTTCCAGGGGACTGTGCTTAAAGATCACATTGAACTGACAGCATTGTGGTCAATCATAATGGGCCTGACACAGGAAGGAAAATATTGCACAGTCTCATCTATATGTGGAATCTTTAAAAACATGAAGTTAAAAAGTCAGTTCTAGAAGGCTGGAGAATAAGTCTGGTTACACGGACAGAGGGGCAGCCATCAAGGAGAGCAAAGGACAGAAAGTGGCAGATTCCTTGGCCGAAGGAGTCTGAAGTTAAAATTACTGTGTGATATTCAGGTATTTTGTTAAATGAGTACATCTCAGCTGCTCTTGGAAAAAATGAAAAAGATGGATAACTGTGAAATGATAGATGTGTTAATTTTCTCCACTGTAGTAACCATTTTACTGTTCGTATTTATAACATCATGCTATGAACCTGAAAAAATACTCAATAAAACTTAGTTAAGAACAAAGAAGCCAGAAATGGTAACATACATCCTTCTCCTTGCTTTGTTTTTCTAGCTAACTTGTGGCACTGGGTCAATGAGGCTTGTGGGCGCCTGAGTGGAAATAAGGTAACATTCAAAGTCTTTAGTTTCTCCTTGAACCGTTCCAACTGCTAGGCTGTTATTGCTGTCATTGGTCGAGGGTGGAGCCCCACTGTGCAGGGGACATGTGCACATTCAGGGGTCAGGCCCGTGTGCGCCTCCAGGGCCAAGTCGCTGCTCACTTGCGACTCCTGCTTTCTTTGTCTTTCCTTCTGCTTTGCTCCTCTCTGTGTCATGCTGCGGTCTTCATCATCTAATACAGAATCCGAGGGACTGCAACTTCCCTCGTGTTGTGCTTCTTTTGTTTGTTATTTTGACAACATTTCAAAATTATAGAACAGTGAGAATAGTACAAAAACTTGCATTTGTTCTATAGTCACATCTATCAGAGATATACGTTACTTTTTTATTTACTCTCTATGTAAAGATGTACTTTTTCTTTATGTTCAAATAATATGATTTTATTTTTCTTTTTTAATGACTTATTTATATGGAACTGATGCTATGGCATAGCGGGTGAAATGATATTCCATATGATATTGGTTCCATTTTATGCTATTCCGCTTCCAAGCTAGCTCCCTGCTGAAGGGCCTGGGAAGGAAGCGGCAGATGACCCAAGGCCTTGGGCCCCCTGCATGCGTGCATGGGGCAGATCCAGAGGTTCCTAGCTTCACATCAGCCCTGTTCCAGCTGGGTAATGAACCAAAAGATGAAAGAATCGCTCTTTCTCTCTGTAAAAATACATTTTAAAATTTATTTGAAAGGAAAAATTAGGGGAGGAGAAGAAAGACAGAGATGCCTACCATCTACAGATCCACCTCCAAATGGCCTAGATGGCTGGGGCTGGTACAGGTGCAGGATCCCAAAGCCCCCTGGCAGGGACCAGGCACTCGGACCATCAGCTCTGCTGTTTTCCCAGGTGCATCAGTAGAGAGCTTGATCACAAATGAAGCAGCTGGAACTGAACCCAGGGCTCATATGGGATGCCAGAATTATAGACATGAGAAAAGCCACCGAGCCACAGTGCCAGCCCCTGCATTTTCTTAAATGATTTTACAGTCAACAGAGATAGTGTATTTCTATAATCTTAGATATTTCCATAGTACACTTATGTAGATCAATTAATTTAACAGTGATAGCATAGTGTTCCCCAACCCAAACCTGATAGTAATATTTCATTACTTATCTCATCATTCAGCCTTCTTTTCTTAAATAGAAAAATGTAGGGCCTGGCACAGTAGCCTAATGGCTGAGGTCCTAGCCTTGCATCTGCTGGGATCTCATATTGGCACCAGTTAGTGACCCAGCTGCTCTGCTTCCCATCCAGCTCCCATTCTTTGGCCTGGGAAAGCAGTCGAGTACGGCCCAAAGCTTTGGGGCCCTGCAACCATGTGGGAGATCCAGAAGAAGCTCCTGGCTTCAGCTCAGCTCAGCTCCAGCTGTTGCATCTACTTGGAGAGTGAGTGAGTTGGTGGAAGATCTTCCTCTCTGTATCTCCTTCTATCTGTAAATTTGACTTTCCAATTAAAATAAATAAATTTTTCTAGAAAATAGAGAAGTGTAAGTTTCAAACTCGGAGTTCCAATGCCAGCACGTCAATGTCAGTTTTCATCCTTCCCTGTTCCACATTTGAATCTTCTGCAGCAGTGCTGGACTTGCTTCCCAATATTCCCAATATAGTTACTTGTTTGTTCAATTCTAAAATGCAAGAATGTAGTTTCAGAGTAATTAAAATATCACAGCAAAACAGAACTGCTAAATAGAGTTCAATAATTGGGGCATAGTTGGGTTTTTATTGTTTTATAAAATATGTGTCTAGATTGATAGCATAGAGTCAAAATATTGTGTTCAAAAGTTATTTATAGGGGCTGGGATGGTAGCTCAACAGGCTAATCCTCAGCCTTATAGTGTCAGCATCCCATATGAGTGCAAGTTCTAGTCCTGGCTGCTCCATTTCCTATCCAGTTCCCTGCTCGTAGCCTGGGAAGGCAGCAGAGAATGGCACAAGTCCTGGGACCCTTACATCCAGATAGGAGATCTGCAGGGGGCTCCTGACTCCTGGCTTCAGATTGGCTCAGCTCTGGCTGTTACAGTCAATTGAGAATGAACCAGTGGATGGAAGATCTCTTCCTGTCTCTTCCTTTTTGTAAATCTGCCTTTCCAATAAAAATAAAGAAATGCTTTTTTGTTTTTTTTAAAGTAACTTATAGGAGTCGTTGTTGTGGAACAGTGGGTTAAACCACAGCCTGCAACACTGGCATCCCGTTGTGGGCACTGGTTCAAGTCTAGTTCCACTTGCAGCCCAGCGCCCTGCTAATGTGCCTGAGAAAGCAGCAGCAGATGGTCCAGGTGCTTGGGTCACTGCGGGAAAAGGGGATGGAGTTCCAGGCTTCTGACTTTAGCCTGGCTTAGCCCTGCCCAATGAGGCCTTTTGGGGAGTGAACCACGGAGTGTACCAGCTCTCAACTCTCTTATCTTTTCGCAACCCCTGACCCCTGCAACTCTCTCTCTCTTTTTTTTTTTTCAAATAAAAAAACTAACTTTGAAAAAATTTAATTGGAGGTTAATGTTTAACCTAGAGTCTAAGATGCCCACATTCCAAATCAGGGTGCTGGGGTTGATTCCAACTCTGGTTCTCTGGTTCCCTGCTAGTGCAACTCCAAGGAGGCGGTGGTGATGTCTGCCCTCCGGGAGGGCTGGATGAATGCCCAGCTCCCAACTTCTGCCCCAGCAGTGGTGGGCATTTACGGAGGAGATCTCTCTCTCTCTCTCTCTCATTTATTTAGGTTAGCTCTTACTCTTGCCTCGGTGTGAATAGGCCCTTCACTGGCGATGCAGTTGGCTTCCCTTGTTTCTAATTACGTTCCATTTTTCGGGTGCTCCCACACTCTGACATTTCAGATAACTCCAAGCCAGGACCCTGGGTGCATGGGCCGTCTGTGCTTGCCGTGGGGGAATCATGAGAGTAGACACCATTTTCAGCAGCGTGTAGCCCAGTGTGTTGTAATGCCGCGGTCTGCACCCTTCAATCCGCAGGAGGCCACCGGTGACAGCTGCACCCACGCTCACGCAGCGCCAGCTGCCCCACGCCAGGCCGGTGAAGGTGTCTTCCTGCTGACCCTGGAGGACAAGCCGTTTCCTGAAGATGTGTGTGACCCAGAAGGCGCCGGCTTCGTCTCTGCAGGTGCACTCTCAGGAGGCGGTCCCTACCCCCAGGGCCAGGAGGCCAGGGTGCTGTCCCTGGTCAGCGAGACTGACGTGGAAGGGGACCCCTTCAGGCAGATCCCCACGGAAGACGAGTACGTGGACAGGCCCCTGCCGCCCCTAGAGGGCTTGCTTCTCCTCACGCAGCCCGGAGGCAAGTCCTTGCTGCCTTTTCCTGAGCCCCTGGAGGTGGGGGAGAACGAGAGCCTAAGCCAGTGCTTCTCCGGCACGGAAAGCTCCGTGGACTCAGACAGCTGCAACCTGGCGCCGCCCCCGTGCAGGGCAGAGTGGACGCCCCTGAGCCCCGACAAGTACCTGCAAGCAGAAGTGGAGGGCGGGACCTGCTCCAACCTGGCAAACTGCTGCCAGGGCTTCAGGAACCCTCCTGGGGAGGATGGTGAGCCCCTCACGGAGTCCCCCAAACACGGACCCCTGCCCCAGTGCGCCTATGGCATGGGCCTGCCCCGCGAAGAAGGAGCCGGCAGGTCGGAAGGGGGCGAGCAGCCCGAGGACTGGGCCGATGTGCGGCTTCCTGATCCCGCCAGGGGAGGTGCAGGATCCGGGAGCTCTGCGGGGGACCAGCCACCTGCTTCTGGTAAGTGACTTCCTAGCCTCGCAGATGGCAGGGGAGCCAGCGTCTCAGGCCATGCAGGGAAAAGGAGTCTGATGTGGAGACGGTTCAGCCCAGTGTTTTATGCCATGGAGGATGGGCTGCGGCTTGCGCCTCCTGCCACGTGACGTCATCTACGACTGGGGCTGTTTAGGCTTTCTGGGGTGCCCTGCACCGGGCGGCGTTCAGGCTTCTCAGATACAAAATTGGCATTGACCTTGGACCTGACTGAGACAGGGCCTTTCCTGAGCTTTCTGGTTTCTGGATTTTGTCTCTTGAGCAATGGTCCCCTCTGAGTTCTCCCCCTGACGGATTTCCAGAAGACAAACAGCATTGCCTGGTTAGACCTTAATTAATTAATATTTATAGCAAACCCCACGTTGCTTATGTGCCATGTTAATGATGCAGTAAAGCCATCCCTTAATGTTTTAATGAGAAGCCCCGTTTATAACCACCCCGTATAATATATTTATGGAACCAGAAGGGTAATTTTACCATTGAACATCATTACCGAGATTTATAACTGCAATACTGTGCGAGCGTGAACAAACTACCAATTATACACATTACAAGTTTTTCACGAGGCTGAGATGCCATCTGTTTTATCATGCACAGCAGTGTCAGCCGCCAGTGAGGGCTTCCTCTGGCCTAGGAGGGCCAGGGATGCTTGGCGGCAGACTGAGCTATTTCAGGAGCTCACGGAATCTTTCCTGGTAGCAGTTTGAGGCCGCCCTCTCCGGGGCTGGTTTTCGCTGCTGTCTTGATGTAGACTGAGAGTGGCACTCGTCACAGCTCTGTGATTGTCTAGGCCTGCAGTAGCTGGGTCTGTGCTTTGCCTGGAGGCTCTTGGCCTCCTGGTCAGGTGGCTGCTGGCCGTAATTTAATACAGCCGTGGTGCTGTCGTGTTTCACAGGCTTTATGCTTTTTTTTATGATTTATTTATTTCCATTGGAAAGGTAGATGAACAGAGAGAGGGAAAGACAGATCTTCCATCTGCTGGTCCAGCCCTGAAATGGCCTCCACGGCCAGAGCTGAACCCATCTGAATCTAGGAACGAGGAGCTAGGTTCCCTGTACAGGTACAGGGGCCCAAGGCCTTGAGCTGTCCTCTGCTGCTTTCCTAGGTCACAGGCAGGAAATGGAGCAGCCAGGGCCCAAACTGGCACCCACGTGGGATGCTGGTACCTGCTGGTACAGGATTAGCCAGTTGAGCCTACATGCTGGGCCCCCATTCTATTTTTTGTCTGATTAATGGTTTGATTGCTTCCTGTTGGTTCTGGAGACACCAACTCTGGTCAAGGACTGCGGAGGCGTAGGGGCTGAGATAGGCCTGGCAGAACCCCAGGCCTGTCACACTACCACAACAGACCAGTTTCCCACTGGTGTTGGCTACTGTATGAAAAGTCAGCACCAGTTGTTGGAAAAAGAGTTGATGGTTGGCGAAATTTAAGCTGTGTGTGTGTGTGTGTGTACAGACAAGGAAAGTCTTCTAGTGTTGTGAAATCCCAAGACAAATCTTTATAGTGACTTGGTCTGGTTTCCATTATCTTTTATTTCTCTCTGGCACTAAACATCTAGGCACAGAGGAAAGGCATAAAAAGTATGTCATCAACTGAGGGGTGTTAATTTGCAACAAGTTCGCACTGCTTTTTCTGTCCCTGCCTGGTGCTTAGCCACACAAAACATCCAGAGACGCCACTCCGCTGCCAGCAGCGAGCGGGCCAGACTCATTTCCGCCCGAGGACAAGGAGCGCCAAACTCATTTTGAAGGCTGTGCTGTTCCCTCTGCAGTTGCCTCTTCCCCGCCAGGCTTTGTGCTTGCCGGTCAAAATAGCACTCTCACATCCTTGACGCTTTTCCTAAAATTGTCATAATTTATGTTCTACGAAGTGTATGAAAGAGGCTTGAGTTTGGCTAAGAATTTGGAGCTGGACTCCTAAAAGCCACTGTGCTTCCAGGATTTGAGAGACGTAGCTTTTCATTGGATTTGCAGCTTTTTGTTGGTAGATGTTTTGTTTTTCTGATCTTACAACCTAGTCAAATGGTTTGTAGAAAAATGGCAGTGGTGGGGATCTCTTCAGGTGTCGCCTTTGTCCCAGCGTCTTTTGGAGGGTGAGGGTGTGTCTTCAAACAGCTCCACCCCAACAGTAGAGTTGTAAAACATGTAATACACAGTCTAGCTCAGGCAGGATTTGTTTGGCCTGTGCGCTAGCTCTTTTAAAGCACAGTGTAGGTTACAAGCAGAGGCCAGTGAAGGTGGAATGTATTTGTTGGGTAGTGTCTTAAATAACCATGCCTTAATTCCCATCTTAAGTCGTGACTAAGCCCAGTAGTTACCCTGGGTACAAGGCCTCACCTGGAATTTAAAGAATCATCATGATGCCACCATGGAATTGTGATAGCCACAAACTAACAGCTGCTCGTCATTAACGTATCTGTTGTTGACCAATGATTCCTTTTGGCTCCTGAAGACCCTCATTTGGCCTGGGCTGGCATCTGCTTACAGAGCTCACAGCAATTCTCAGTGAATGCTGGTTGCATATTCACTTCTGAGCCACAGGGACTTCAGGAGAGCCTGGCAACTAAGAGGGACCTGTGTTGAGGAATGGACAACGCCCAGAGGATGGATCATTTGAGAATGAGCCCTTCTCCAGGCACTACCTGTCCACTCCTGGCCTTTTGTGCATAATGAGTCACGGGGACTTTCTCACCAAGCCAGATGCTCCCACACCTCTTGCCTAAGCTCGATTCTTGGTAGGAATTTTCATGACCTTGCCAAACCTGACTTTTCCTGCATGGTATGTGAAAATGTACTACATGTTCCTTCATCCATCCAGGCAGGAACAAGAGGCCACAGTTTCCTATTCATTCCTCAGCTGGCTCTCAGCCTTCCCTTCCTTTGGTCTGCTCTACTGAGTTGAGGGAGAGGCAGAAGGTGGAAGGACTGGCACCAGCCACCTTGAATGGGCTTGAGAATCCTAGTTGCACCTGCCATCCTGGATAAAGAAATGGCAGAGCAGAGGGAAGCCAGCTCCTCCAGGGCCTTGACCCTGCCTGACAGCCGCCTGGGGATCAGGGTGGAGGTAAGACACCTGCCTGAGTGACTCTACTCCTCCATCCATTGAAATGATAATTCTTCACCATCCATTTCTACTCTGGAAAAAAAAATTCCCACCAAAATTTCCCTTTTCTTTCCTCTCTCTTCTAATAATGCACAATCCTGCTTTTCTCATTTTCTTCACTTCCCACCTTTTAGCTAGGCAGTGTAAGGCAGATATTGATTCGTTCTTTGGCCCAGAATCTTCAAATTGAAATTTATATTTTATGGGCATGGTGCCTGGGGCCTAGCAGCTGAATTCCTCGCCTTGAACATGCTGGGATTCCATATAGGCGCCAGTTCTAATCCCAGCAGCTCCACTTCCCATCCAGCTCCCTCCTTGCTTGTGGCCTGGGAAAGCAGTCAAGGATGGCCCAAAGCCTTGGGACCTGCACCTGTGCAGGAGACCTAGAAGAAGTTCCTGGTTCCCGGCTTTGGATCGGCACAGCACCGGCCGTTGCAGTCACTTAGGGAGTGAATCATCGGATGGAAGATCTTCCTCTCTGTTTCTCCTCCTTTCTGTATATCTGACTTTGTAATAAAAATAAATAAATCTTTAAAAAAAGAAATGTATATTTTATAATGTGATGGTTTAGTGATAATGTCAGCATCATTGGTGCTAAAAGTCAGTGCATCATTTGAGAAGATATGAAAGGTTTGCCTCACACACTTTGACTAGTCCTGTCTTCTATACCAAAAGGGCTCATTTTGGAAGGATTCAGACCATGAGACTGTCTCAGTAATTTTCAAGCATGATTCAGACTGGAATTATTAAACGCTGCTTCCCTTCTCTTATCATCATATACCCAGTGTCTTCCGAATGCTTGCATTTCCATAAAAAGGAAAATCACGTGAGAAGTGTGTGGGCTAAAATTAAAGCTTGTGTAGCCTGAGTAGTCTGAGTGTATTTTTGTATATTTTTAGCTCAGAAGAGAATCTGCATGACAATTCGGTGGTACTGTTTGCACAGCTCTTATGGTTTCATATTCATGGGCTCTGCGTTTGCAACGCCATAAGAAGCTTTTGAGAAGAAAAGCGTGCATTGCCTCACTTAAGAATGTAAATTCTGACAGGGATTGTGTTCTGAGAACTTAGCTGCTGCTTTCTGCTAGAGAACAACAGATTCCCTGGAGCCTGCTGGATAAAGCTTGGGCTTAGCAGGGTATAAACATCCTTCGGATTAGAATGAGACACATCACTTTCCCGTCGTCTGTTGACTTTAATGCTATTTTTAATACCTTCAAGTTATCGGAATGTTTTTCTAGTCCAGTCAAACTCAATACTAATGTGAAGTCCACTAATCCAATGCTTTAAAGCTCCTAATTTAATGAAAACCTCCTTGTCATTCTGGCCTTCAAATCATACTGTTGGGTAGGCTTCAAATACTAGCAATGGAGTGATATCCAGAGAGCTGCCAGGCTCTGATGGCCTGAAGGCTGTCAGGAGGTTCCACACATTCGCGACCAAGGGCAGGCTAAGGGCTTTGTGTGTTCATCTGCTCTTAATTCCTCAGAGGTCCCACGGGGTAAGCTCCTTGGTCAGGATCACGTCAGCGGGAGGCAACAAAGTCATGCTGTGACTTGGTTATGAATCTTGTATCTTACGCCAACATCAACACCCCTTAAAGAGGTGCCAGTTCTATTGATTTTACTGGAGCCTAGCGCCCTAGAATAAGGACAGTCACAGGCTTGGGATAATTGGAGACAGACTCTTTGGAAGTGGGGGCAGTGGCCAGCTTGCACACACGAGACATGCAGGACAGCATGGTTACCTAGCCTGCAGAACAACCCGCCCCCTGCCCACCTTCTGCCAGTTGTCTGCGAACATTACTGTTGGCACCATCTGTGATCCTGGGCAGGGAAAGTATCTTGCACATGCTGCCTCCAACC